CATAAATTAGTGAATTCAAGTAAAGAGGCATCAAATATGCTATTTTTATTTTAATGTGAGCATATATAAATATTAAAAAAGTTTTAGTTGGAACTATTTTTTAAATTCATAATAAAGTATGTAAAATGAATCTAGCCGCTAAATTGTGTCATGCGCAACCACTTTATATTTTTTTAATTATAAACAAACAAACAAAAAAAGAGAGAGCATAAAATAGTAAATGAGGAGCCCGAACAATCATTGTTCCAACGGGGTAGGCATAATAACGACATGGTGACTGCAATGTAGACTATATATATATATATATATATAGTCTACATTGTTTAATAATAATTGATAATTAGCATGGCTCTGAAAAAAAAATTTTAGCAAGAAATATTAAAACTCCTATTTTTGATTAATTTATAGGCAACTAATCGGAGTGACGAGATGAACACAATGACACCAAAGTTGGATCAATTCAAGTCAAATCAAGCCCAAATCGAGCAATTAAGTCATTTTTGAAAGTTTTTAGTGCCCAATTGGAAAGCCAAAAGGATTCCAAATCTGACAAACTTATAATTGAATCGAGTGTCTCGATGATACGAATCTAACAAACATAAGATCACCCAATTTTGACATTTTGAAGGCACTTAAATCTCCACAAAATATTATCCCATCAAAGAAATCTCTTTGGGTCGTCGAATGGAATGGTCCTTATTTGCAGAGAAACCTCTCCCATACTCTATAAATAGAGTATATCCCATTTATGAATGAAGAGTTTGGCTTGAAATTGAATGAGAGGAAGTCTGGGACTTGGAGTAGGAGTTGAAGTCAATGTTCCACATCAAAGGTCCCACAAATGTTACCCATTTCTCCAACTACCGACCACCGTCGTCTTCCCCTGCACATCCCAATGAAGCCCTCTACAGAATCATGATTCACACAACAGTGTACGATGTGGGGTAACATAGAACAATGTGGAGTACTGATCAACCTTGTAGAGTAATGAAGCTAGGGCTGTCATAATGACTTGTTATTCACAAATAATTCATGTTTGGCTAGTTAATAAGCTCATGTTCGATTTGTTCGTTGAGCAAACGAGCCGAACATAAATCATTTTTTTGCGCTCGATATATAAAGAGTTGAACACGAATAAATATTTATTCGTTCATGTTCGGCTTGTTTTGACTCGAAATAATTAAATTATATATATATATATTATAATTGATGGATAATATTTTTCAAATAGTTTAATTGTCTACAAGGCTATAAAGATTTATAATCAATTAAAATTATTAATTAAAAATGGAAAATAAATTAAACTATATTTAAATGGATTTTTAAGATAAAGAAAAAGATTTAAATCTCCCCCCTACTCTTAACATCCTATGACTAAAGATATCAAAATGATTCTTTATTCGCAAACAACTCGTGTTCGACTCGTGAAGAAAATGAGTCATACATGAACAACTTTTTGTGTTCGAAAAATAAACGAGTCGAACATGAACACTGGTGTTGTTTAACAAGCCGAACGTGAGCTGAGCCCGGACTCGCTCTTGTTTGGCTCGCTTACACCCCTAAATGAAGCATCGTACGGAGCAACGTACCCTGAAAATGGTGTAATAATGCCCCAAAGTTGGTGAAACACACACCCCACATATAATATAACAATGCACCCTAAAAACGGTATAACGATGTACCTCAAACACGGTGTAACGGTACACCCTTAATATGGTGCAAGGATGTCTCTTAAAGATGATATGACAATGCACCCTGCAATAACTACTTACAACTGTCATACTCAGGATATGGTGACTTTCTCCGAACTCTTGAAGCTCTCTCCATACAGCCCACCATGACAGCCTACATGGTCCACAGCTCATGGAGTTCCCAACTACAGTCTCTGCGGAAACAAAGTCACATTCAACACAATCTACAAGCCCGCAATTCCAAGCATATTTTTTGTTTCCTAATGGTATATATCATCTAACTAGCAAAGGAACCTCCTTTGTACCTCTGAAGCATTATCTGATGTGTGTGTGTCTGTTGGGGGGGGGGGGGGGGGGGGGGGTGGGGGGGAGGAGGGGGCTTCACTTTAGTTTTGAAAGGTTCTGCACTTCAATGTCTATGGCACGACTATAATGGGGTAGTTTTTCCACTTTCCATTCAGACATCCGGTCTATGAAAACTACTTCTAGGTTGGGGTAACCTCCTCTGCAGTCTCAAAAGATTGTTCACATTAACCTTTCAGGCATGATTGTCATCCTACGTCTCATTCAAACGTCAAGTCTTTGAGAATCACTTATAGATGGATGGGCAACCTTCATCACGAAGAGTGATTTCTTAACACCCCTCAGCGTACAGGAGGTCTTCTTGAACTGGGTCAGAAAGTTGATCTCCTTGAGAATTCAAATATGGGCTACTTTACAACTCGTGTCTAAAATGTCCCCGTTGGGGAATGACTATTCAAAAGCAACAACTAGGAAGTTGTCAAACATCATTCTTGAGTATGGTTGTTATCATATTTTAAATAAAAAATACAATCAATTTAAACTTATGCCTCACTCTCATGGAACACATAATATTTTTGAAAACCAAATTATGTGCTTAATCGATGCCACGGGACTTGATTCAACCTCTTCCTTCACAGGCTATGGTAGTCAAGAATAAGCTTTAACTAACAACCTTGTAAAGGTAAAAAAATTTTGGTTGATTCTCAATTATTTCTTCCTTTAAAGGCTACAATTTTTAAGTAGAAGCACTTTCACTAGCAGCCTTAGTAAGGTCAAACAATCTTAGCGGAAGACAAGGTATCCACCAATAACTCTAAAAGATGAGCTTAAGATGCAAGTCTCCATAGGAAGCTAATCATGGATACACTGCTCACTATGAAGACCCATTAATGGTAGTGATAGACAAGGTCTCTACCAATCCACTAGAAGACAAGCCCAGGAGGCATCTCTCAATGGAACACTAGTAATGGATACACTTCTCACTAGAATAATCTCTTGAGGCCAGGTGGTAGACAAGGTCTCCACCCATCTCCAGGAAGATGAGCCCAGGAGGCATACATAGATGAGAAGCTTGTAGTGGACAACATCCTCATTAAAAATACTTCACGAGAGCAAGTGGTTGGCAAGATATCCACACAAAAATCTCATGATGTTACAAGCCTTAGAAAGGAAATGTATGTCAAAAATCTCAGAAGACTGTAAGCCTCATAAGCTACAAGTACATCAATAGTCTCATAAGGCTCAAGCCACAAAAGGCACAAACCTCAAAAGGCATAAGTCTCAAAAGGTATATAATCTTTCTTTATATAATGAATATATGCTAACTTTGATATCAGACTTCTACGTATTTGGAAAGCCAAAAAAAATCTCATAAGATATAAATCTCAGAAGACTTCGATGTTGTTGTGCCCTTAATGAGGAGACAAAAGCATCAACAACACCCAAGAAGGGGCCCAATGATAGCCTAGAAGTTGGGCAAGATCAAGCAGAAGTTAGACGACAACATTCCATAATTTTGGCAACAACAACATAAAAGTAGGACGAAAACATCTTAGAAAAGGGACAACCACAGTTCAGAAGAAATGCACAAATAACCTTAAGAGCGACATTTTTTTTGCTGCATCTAGAGATGTACAGACAAATGTAAGACCATAATATCACGCAAAAGGATTATGTACGAACAAACACACTATCGTAATGTACAAATATTAAATCAAGTGATTAAAAATTTATAAAAATCAAAACACACTAGTGCAAAAGCTTCAACAAGTTAGTAGGAGAAAATACATCGATCTACATAACATCCTCCCCATCATCAAAAGGATTGCAAATTCATGTTCTCTTCTTTAAAACCAACATCATTTCTTAAAAATCCTACAAAGTGTATGTGTTTTAATTGAGAAGTTATCATTCTTTTGCTTGCCAAAAATATGTGTGATCTTTGCAAAATCAGTGCTCCATGCCCTTGAAGAAAGGGTCAACCCATCTTCAAATAGTGTGGACATCACCTACTCAAAACTTTGATACTTCTTCTAATTTTCAGAGGGATGAGATTGTTCAGATATTAGTATCTTAGAAGTGTGAAAAATCTCCTCCAGATTGCACAACAACGGTAACTTTTCAATTTTTCTTCATGAAGAATCCCCTCCAGAATGCATTGGGGGGGAGACTCTAACTTTTCTCCACAAAGAATCTCCTCTAAAATATGTTGTGGGAAAGCTTTAATTTTTTTCATGAAGAATTCCTTTCAGAATGAATATCAAAGAAACTCCAACTTCTCACCATGAAGAATCCGCTCAAGAATGTGTTGCAAAGAAAATCCATTTTTTTCCCACAAGGAATCACATAGGAATGCACAACGGGGAGACTACAATTTTTCTTCATAAATGAATTCCTCCCAGAATGAATAGTATGGAGACTCTAATTTTTTTTTTCTAAATGAAGAATCTCATCTTAAATGCTCGATGAGGAGACTCTTAACTTTTCTCCCCAAAGAACGCCCTCCCAAATGCACAAGGAGGAAACTCTAATTTTTCTTCGCGACGAATCCCTTCCAGAATGTGCCGCAAGGAAACTCTAATTTATATTCATGAAGAATTCCCTCTAGAGTGAGGTGCAGGGAAACTCCAACATCTCTCTAATAAGAATTAATTCCAGAATACATGGTGGTGAAACTCCAAATTTTCTCCACAAAGAATCCCCCCTTCCCCCAGATGCGCAACTGGAAAACTTCAATACTTTTTTTTTCTTTTTATCCTATTTATAGGCTAAAATGACTAGAAAAAGAAAAGAAACCTAAAAACTATCTAATTCTGTTTTGGCCTATGGATTGTTGTTGTGGTTGTTTGCAGTCCATCAGATCGCTTCCTTCTCTCGCTGTTTGATCATGCTTACAGTGGATCGCGGACATGGTTGCCCACTATCCAAATTCCTAACTGTCGTGGTCGCATGCTATCTACTAGATCAATTCCATGTCATACCATCTGAAAGAAGCCATCGACTAACATGTCGGGCTCCACCTCTGCTGACCTCTACCTGCAGCTACATGCAATCGCTGCCTCTGGCCACTGTCATTGTTATCTCCTACCACCGCCTTTGATCACTGACCACCGTCTTCCATGGCCTCCATCAGTCACCGCCGCCATCACCCAACCACTACCACCAGTGACCTCCTCGTTGATCGTCGCCACCATCACCATCAGCGACCACTGCCATAGCTTTCACCTCCTACCACCACCTTTGATCATTGACCACCGTCTTCTATGGCCTCCTCCAACGGTCACCGCCATCATCATCATTGCCAACCACTGCCACCAATGGCCTCCTCTTCGATCATCACCGCCATCACCATCTGCAGCCACCGCCATAACTTTCACCTCCTACCACCACCTTTGATCATTGACCACCATCTTCTATGACCTCCTCCACCGATCTCCACCGCCATCACCACTGCCATCCACTGCCACCAGTGCCCTCCTCTTTGATCATCGTCGCCATCACCAACAACAGCCACATATATGCTAACTTT